CATATGGCTTCCCCCACCCACCCAAAAGTAGGTGCCCCATGTTTGGAAGTTGCACTTTCCAGCTGGCCCCTTCTCAAGGGTATTGGGGAGACACTCTGCACATGTTCAGGAGCCCTTGCTGCTGGTTGGATTTCACATCTTCTAGGGTTCACATCAAGTGCTGTTTCTTGGCTGCTGAGCACCCCCCTTCCATTTCTTCTCTTGCCCCCAATTTCTCCATAGGTGCTCCGGGACAAACTTCTCACTTACTACCACACCAGGAAGCAGGTTGGCCGGAACAACAGCGACAACCTGGTAAAGTCAAGGGGTGGTGGTGGCCCCTTTCCCCCCCAGGCCGGCTGTCCCCAGCCCCACTCTGCTCCTCAGGCAAGAGATGGGGGGGCAGCATATGGCAAGTGGGGCGGGGAAGCAACAGCTGGCCTCCCTTGCCAGCCTGAGGGCAGTCTTCCTGCCCCACGCAGGAGTGGAGTGGGGTGCAGGCTGAAGTGGGGCCCCCCACGGTTTCATTCAGTTGGATGCCTAGAGGCAGGCAGGCAGGCAGGCAGGCATTTCCTTCCTTCCTTCCTTCCTTCCTTCCTTCCTTCCTTTCCTTCCTTTTCTTTCCTTCCTTCCATCTTTTCCTTCCTTCTTTTCAGAGCTTTGCACCATTTTATATTATGGACCTATAGACTTGAAGTGAGGCTGGCTTGAGGTGTATGCTAGGAAAAGCACTCTGCATGTGCTCAGGGTCACATTCCCATTTCCACCAGCTTCATTTTCACCGCTGGGCTCCTTGGGATGAGGCACCATCAGGCGCACCCAGTTTCTTCTTTCACCTCATGGTCCTTTTTTTCAGAGCTTTGCACCATTTTATATTATGGACCTATAGACTTGAAGTGAGGCTGGCTTGAGGTGTATGCTAGGAAAAGCACTCTGCATGTGCTCAGGGTCACATTCCCATTTCCACCAGCTTCATTTTCACCGCTGGGCTCCTTGGGATGAGGCACCATCAGGCGCACCCAGTTTCTTCTTTCACCTCATGGTCCTTTCTGCCTCCCCTCCCTCTCCATTCTGCATCTCACCTGAGCCAGGAGTACCTGGACCTGCCGCGCAGCCCTCGTGGTGCCGTCCTGCCCCAGCTGCCCAGGTAGTGGGTTGCGCCCTTGGGGTAGCAAAGGGGCTTCTCTGACCTATGGGTGGGAGGGGGGACGGGGGGGCCAAGCCACCTGGCTGCCTCCTCTCACGGATGGGCTTGGGAAAGAGGCCCTGAGGCCCAGCCCTATACTGGGGGGGTGGCTAAAGGCTTGGCGTCTGACACTCCCTGGTGGGAGGGGGCTCTGTCACCAGAGGCCAAGAGGACACCGCCTGGTCCCCCCTCTCCAAAGCCAAGCCACCAGAAAACTCCAGGGGAGACCTTCCCCCCCTTCAGCTGCTCCCTGGGTTCGCTCCTGCGGGCAGGGGTGGGTGAAGGGGCGATCCTGGCTTTGCCCGAAGCGAGATAAGGCTGACTGCCAGTGGGGAGAGTCTCCTGGGGCTCCTCTGTGGGGTGCCCCCTCCCTCTCAGCCCGTCCCTCTCCATCTGCCCCGGGTGCCTGCTCAGAGTCTATTCCCCAAGCAGGAAGAGGCCAGCCTGGTGCCCGGCCGGGCCGTGCAAACCGCCAGGCCCTCGGCGGAGATTCTCCCGCTAGCCAACCCTCAGGGAGCTTGCCCAGAATTTGCCACAGACGGGAGAGGGGCCTTGGGTGAAATCCTTCCCGTTTCCATCACCCTCTTTGCCTCCACCTGACGGGCAGAGGGAGAAACGCCAACCGAAGCAAGAGACCCCCGGCTTAGCCAGCAAAAGGGCGCCACTGAGACTGCCGCCCCCCCCAGAAGACCCTCCTCCCAGCCCCCAACCCCGCTGGCCAGGCAGCCTGGCCAGTGGGAGGCAGGATGGACAGACAGACGGACCAGCTGGAGCAAAGAGGCTGCCACAGCATCAGCTAAATGGCAGCCTGCGCCTGCACACCCCCACAGCGCATCGGGACGAGCCCCACACCTGAGCCCCACATGGGGAGGCAGAGAAACTGCCATAGGGGTGCCCTGTGGCTGCTCCTCAAGGAAGAGGGGACCTGTTTCCTGGGCCCCACGTCCTCTCCCCACTGACTGCCAGTGGGGAGAGTCTCTGGGGCTCCTCTGTGGGGTGCCCCCCTCCCTCTCAGACCCAGGCCCCCTCTGTTCCCTGCCAGGAAAGCCCAGCAGGTGGGTCAGGCCGCCGGGGAGAATGCCAAGGGAAGGGCTGGGGCAAAAGACTCTCTTTTTTGGGGGGGTGGGGAGGGTTTCTGGATGGCTGAGGGGCCAGAGAGTGGCCGCCCCTCCCCCCTTCCTCTCTCCCCCCCCCCAGAGTACCTGTCACACGCTGCGCAGCCACTCGGACAGCCTTGGATACACCCCGAACCTGTTACCTCGTCACGCGACTCTAGGCCGTCTTCAGGAGTTTGCCTGCTGAAGGGGCTGCCGAGCATCTTTCACCCTCCCCACCCCCGACCCCCCACCCGGATGGATGGATGGATGGATGGATGGACAGACAGACGGACCAGCTGGAGCAGCGCCCTCTTCCCGCTGGGAGCCCCAGGCCGGCCCTGGGGACTCCCCGTTCTGCCAGGAGGGAAGGCGGCACTCGGGAGACGGAGCAGAGGTCGGCGCCTGCCCGCGCCGGGCGATGAGATCCGGATTTCCCAGGCCTCCTGGAAGGGCTCCCCGGGCGTGCCTCCGAATCCCGAAGCAGGCAGGCTGGGGCACCGCGGAGCCCCGGCCCCCCTCTCGGCGGTTGCTGGAAACGGACCACGCCGACGACTCCTATTAAAGTTAGTCCTGGTTAGAGGCTTTGTGGCGTGGGAGCGTTATTGGGGTTGCCACTACGACCTTCAGCCCCGCCACCTCTTGTGGGGCAGCTGCGTGGAACAGATGCCCCCTCTCTCTCCCCCTGCCGCCCCCCCCTGGCCACGTCCAGGAGAAGGGACTTCTTGGGCAGGGCCCCCACAGCGGCTGGAGGGCCGTCAGCCAGCCTGGCTCTGCGCGGGCCTGTCTAGCTCTCTCGCCTCTGTGGGTGGACTGGCTGCTCTGCGCTGCGGCGCGACGCACACCCACCAGGTCCCTGCTGAGAACCGCCATGCTTGTGCCCCATC